AACTCTTTGACAGCCTCGCACTCCATAAATCACAGCTGTATATAATCAAGGATATGGTTCCCAGAACACTCATCCAGCTGATGCAAACCATCAAAAATGAGGACAAGCTAGCTGAACAGGGGCATGTTGTCCCTTTATATTACCTGTGCTTGGGCACATAGAGAGTGGATTTTAATACCTAATACTTGGAGTTAGGGCCTGAATGTGATTTCAGGCCCCTGGACCCTGGTCCTAAGGACACAGAGTGGGGACCTGGTTGGAGGGAGGACTGGCCTTTCTACATGGACTGTGGTCCTGTGTTGGGTCAGGTTGATGCTGGAGACACAGCAGGTGAAGCCCAGTGGGCCTATGAAACAGGTGCTGGGAGAGGAAAGGTCAGAGGCTATGCCCCCACTTTCCCCATCCTCGGTAAGTTGTACCCTTAGAGACACTAGGTGGTGACACAAGAGGCAATCACTCCTCAGGGCCCCCAACCTTCTCTCTGGAATGTCTGAAAAGATTACTGCCCCAGAGAAAGATCAGAGTGTTCAACACACTTCCAGTCTTCAAACTCTGGGGCTGTTAGTCAAATGCATCAGCTGGTTATTCCACCAGACAGAATTCTCTGTCTGCCCCACAGTTTCCCTACAGAGACAAAGCTCCAAGAAGGAAGGTGGTTGCCATTTCAGGAGCTGTCCTCCTTGAGCCTTTGGGAGCTGTCAGGGTGCCTCTGGGCCCCTGGCTAATGGGTATCTATCCATCCCTCAAGCTTCCAGGGAGGGTAGCAGCCACCTGCCACCACCCTCAGCTGCAGACTGGTGATGCCTAGGCCAGACTGAGGCTGCCCCGTGAGTAGGGGGAGTCATCACAGGCCCCCCCGACTCGTGAGCTCTCCACATTCAGTGGTGTGTTCTCCTTGCCCCCTTCCTAACTTGCCTTTTTGGATCTGAAATTCATTCACACTGAGGTGTGGATGACTGGTAAGAAGGGAGATAGATATGTATTTTATTTATTTAGATACAGGTATATAGTTAGGGGCCTGAAATTTCCATAGCGGGGTGCCAAGTTCTGGTGGCTCTCTTGGTCTGGGGAGGCCTTCCCTGAGAGGTTCTCTTTGCATAAAGATAGGACCCCAGCTTCCCAGGGAGCAGGGACATGCCTTCTTTCCTGGCGGAGGGTGGAAAAGTGTGGGGAGCGACTTCGAAGAGCAGAGTACTGTGGTGAGAAGGAGGTTCCTGCCCTCAGGCCCTGGGCCCAGCCCTCCTAGATGTTGGAGCACCAGTCATTTCTCCATCCCTGCAATCTGGCTGACAAGCCCGCCCCGCCTCCACTGTAGAGTGGCTGTTAAGCCCCATAGGACAGCAGAGCTCTCTGAAAGGAGCTTGTAACTGCTACTTGCCATGTAGCTCAGGTTGCTGATATGTCCTATGGCTGAGGAGGTGAGAGGGAGGCTAGAGTGATCCCGAGTGATCAGGAGAGGAAGAGTCCCCCGAGTTAGAGGCCAGGCCCTGTGTATAATAAGCCTGGGGGCCTCTGGTCTTCAGCCACTGCATTGAACCGCATCTACTGACGTAGGATTTTTTCCATAATTCCATTCACCAAACTGTGAGCCTATCCAAACGGTCAGGACCCTTTGGTCACAAAGGGGTTAGAAACCCAACTCAGTTTCAGCAAAAGGGACCTATTAGAAGGCTGCCAAGTAAGTCTCAAAACCAGAGGCATTGCTGAGGAGCCAGGCAATTCTGGGACGTCAGACTTGGGTACCGAAGGTACTGGGTGCTCTCTGTCCGTCCCTCTTTTCTGCTGGTCTCCCCCAAGCTTCATTCCCTCCTGCTGCAGGGAAGGGAAACAGCCTCCAGCAGCAGGAGAAGAATACCCTTGAAGGACATCGCCCTGGTGTCTACCTCCACCTTTCCAGCTGCTCTAACAAATCCCAAGAAGGGCCCTGATTGGCTGGCATCAGGCATCCCTGAGCCAATCACCCTGACCAATATGGGACACTCCTATTGGCCAGAGTCTGTTCTCAGAAGGTGCAGGGCAGCTCCAACACCTTTTCCAACACCAGCTCCAGGCACCCACCCCTCGCACCCTCCTCTTTCCCTCCCCGCCCCCTCCCCGGCCAAAGCAGACCTGACCTGGGATGGGGATTAGTGAGAAAAAAGAGTCAGAAACAGCCCCTGCACCTCAAGGAGCTCATAGACTAGCGTAGGTGTGGAGGGTGGTCAGTCAGATCACTGAGGGGATACAGGTACAGAGGTCTGATAAGGGCCAGGGATCAGGGGCACCGCCCCCGCAGGGAAGGACCCTGCTTCCCACTCTCTTTAAGTTTTTCTTTAAATTCCAGTTAGTTAACAAACAATAGTTAATCTGAGCGGAGGTGGATGGGGGATGGGTTATATAGGTGATTGGGAAAGCGAAAACTGTCAACTCCCGCCTTATTAGGAGGTTAGTGGTTTCGACCTTTGCCCTACAAATGACATCAGACCTGGTAGTATGGAGTTTCTGTAGACGCTGCAGGCCGGTGGGGGCTCTTTCTACAAGCGCCATGTACCTGGAGCACATGGAGGGACGCTCTGCCTCTTCCTTCTGAGGAGAGGGCTCAGGACCCTGGAGCCCACCTTGGGGCGGGCCCTGTGGTGTTAGGCCCAGAGGGGGCCACAGGCTCCAAAGAGTAGCAAGAAAGATGAAGACCAGACCTCAGGAAGAGATGTCAGGTCCTAAGACAATGAAGCCCTAGAAAGTGGAACCAGCGCCAGCCAGGTCCAGAGGGCAGCTCACCTGGCCCCAGGTGGGGTGTCCCAACAAGGTGGCCTCCCAGGAGGAAGGAGAGGGAAGGGCCTCCCTGGATGGATGGTGAGACTAGGCACCCTTGTGAGAAATACCTAGAGAGTGGGCTCCAGGGCAACTCCAGCCAGAGACCTGGGGCTCCCCCCACCAGGCTGGGTCCTGTTCCCTTGGGTGTGGCCCACAGCGTGTCTTGGGATACATCCTGGTCCAGAGAGAATACCAGAAATGTTTTCAGCCAGAACTCTGGAGGGAACTTTTGGCGGGAGCCCCAAGAGCCCAGAGGTAGAGCTGGCAGGAGCAGGGCTGGCCTGTAGTCTCTTTCCTCCTGGTGTGGAGGAAAGATGGACTGCCAGGCCCCTCCGTCCTAATCCAGCCCAAACACCACCACTGCCCCTTTGTCTGCTGCCTTCCCTCTGGAGATAGGGAAGGGCCTCACTCAAGGATACCACCTCAGGTCAGCACTCAGAGGTGGAGCTCCAAGGTACTCTCTCCCCAACCCAAGACCCCTGTCCCCCACCCCCAGTCTCGCCGCACCCCCCCCACCACCCCCAGTACAGGCTTAAGACATTATCTCAGAGGAATTTCCACACCTGCCTGCAGAAGGAAGATATTATCCAGGGGTACAGATAAGGAAACTAAAGCTCAGATATGTTAAGTAAATTGGCCAAGGTCACCCGCAGAGCCAGAAATGCAAAGTCATCTGTCACCTCCAAGTAGCATCCCCTCCCAGCCACACCCTCTGAGGGGCTATTAGTCAAATGCACCAGCTGGTTATTCCACAAATCCGGACACAATCAGTTTGTGAATTTGCATTTGATTTGCATAAGTGTATCACAAATACATAGATATCGTCCGTACACTGCCCCATACCCCTCCACCCTCTGTGTGTGTGTCTGTCTGTCTCTCTCTCTCTCTCTCTCTCTCTCTCCCCCCCTCCCCCTCCCCCTCTCCCCCCGCCACCCCACCCTGCACACAGCCAGACTCTTCCTCCTTGCGATGCCTTGTGGACTGGGGAGTACCATCTGGTCCCCTCCATCTGCCAAGGACACCTTTGCTGGTTCAGAGTGTTCCTTCCCACCGGGCATTACACAGTGCACCGAGTCAGGGAGCAAATCGGAGGGGAAACTGCCGGGAGGAGGAGCTCGGTGCGGAGCGGCCCCATTTCAGCCTGCAGCCGCGGGGCAGCGCCGATGCAGCAAGGAGTCACGAATGGACAATCGCGGAGGAGGGTCCCCAGCCCCAGATACATCCTCTCTTCTGTCTCCAGCCCCAGATTTAGCTGCCTTTTCGCCTCCCACGCCTTCCCGCTGCCGTCTGGAATGTCGGGAGGCTGGGAGAACTAGGAAGACTGGATCGGGATATTGGTGGCGGGGGGCGGGGCGGGGGTGGGGGTCGGCGGAGCCAAAGCACTCAGAGGGGAAGAGGGAAGGTGCCCTGGACGGAGCATGGGTCTGGTCCCCCACCCCACCTCCACCCCCCCACCCCCTATCTTCCTCTCTGCCTACACTATGCAAAACGGTAGCCACTAGCCACACGTGACTATGGAGCCATCTGATTGTGAAGGCATAGTATAAAAAAATGTATATAAAATATCTCATTTGTTTTTATATTGATTACATATTCCAAGGATAATACTGTGGACATACTGGGTTAAACATAAAATTAATTCCACCCATTTCCCTCTTTTTTTAATGTGGATGCTAGAAAATTTTAAATAATACATGTGGCTTGCATTTTGATATGTGTTGCATTTCTATTTGGCTTGCTGTCCTCAACTCCAACCTCCTGGTTAGGCAGTTGCTGTTTTGTAAAATAAATACAATAAATCTTTTTTAAAAGTAAGTACCTAAGTAAGTGTCCAACATGTATCAATTACTTATCATTGCTGTGTGTGTATTATTACCCAAAATGTGGGCCTGCCCCTTGCTATAGTTGTACGGGTCACAGTATACTATGCCTCTTTGGATGCGTTATTTTACGTTATTCACTTGTCCTGCTTCTCTTAGAGGTAACTGCCATCCTCATTTCACAGAGGAGGCACATGAAACTCTAAGAGACTCAGTAACTTGCCCAGGGCCACACAGCTAGCCAGTGGGATTTGTGCCCGGATCTTGTCTACTCCAGAGATGGACCCTTGAGAACCACTCTGTGCTACCTCTCTTGCTAAACGTCCACTGAGGCCCTCCAAAGTTAAGCCCTGCACCCCTCCTCTCCCTCCAGGTTCCCACGGGCATTAAGGACCTGCCCGTGTGAGGCACTCCTCATCACAAGGCCATTGCCAAGGGACTACCGGTCCGGAAGCTGCCAGTCCACAATATGCAGGAAACCCTAGAGACATCGACCTTGTTGTTGGTCCCCAGCCGATCCTCAATCTCCGTGCAGGACAAGTTCTCCACTGCAGGCCAGACTTCGAGTGCAGGCCCCCAGCCCTCAAAGCCCTCAATCATCCCACCCCCTAGCAAGTCCAAGGGCTGGAATTCTGGGACCAAAGTACGTCGGATGCGCCGGATTATAGCCGAGGATCCCGAGTGGTCCCTGGCCACCATTCCCCTCCTCACAGAGCTCTGCATTCAGCACATCGTCAAGAACTTCCACAGTGAGTTTGTCCCCACCCTGGGCAGAAGAGAAAGGCCAGGGGTAGAACAGGATGGGTGGGGACTGCCCAGAGGCGTGGCTTCAGAGACTGGGCCCTGGGGCAGCCCCAGCCTTTCTCAACACGGCTGTCCCACTTGGGGGGCGGGGGGTGGACACCTTTCCCATTCTCTCTGGCAAAACCCAGCCCAAACCATATTTACAGAACACCTCCTCCAGTAAGCCCTCCCTGGTGGACCATCCTCCACTCCCTTGGCCTTCCCCAGTGTGTGTATGTTCTTGGTTTGTTCTGTACTCTGTGCTCTGCAAATGGCCATCCTTTGCAAAGATGAGCAGCCAGCCTCTCCTAGCAGACGGGGTGCTCTGAGGACAGGATCATCATATTATCTACAGCACCTACAACCCCCTGACCTACAATATATTCGCCTGACTGATTTACTGTCTGCCTCCTCTCCCAAGGGGGAGTGGTTCCCTCTGTCTTGTTCACTCTTATATCCACACCCCTTAGAACAGTGTCTAGTGCACAGTAGGTGCTCAAACATCTTCTTGCTTTAAGATGAATGAATCAAATCATTTGGGAATCTCAGAACTCAGGATTATCTCCTGCATCAGACCAAGTGATCACTGAGGGCTAGACCAGAGATCCTTGCTTACACTGGGAGCTCTGGGAAACCAGATACTAAGCTGTCCACCTTCAGGCAGGGAACACCCAAAGCCTGGGGCTGCATCTCCCCCCTCAGACTGAGCCTCCCTAGGAGTAAAGGCTGTCTCCCCTCTCTGACTGAGGCTCCCTGAGGGCCAGGGAGGGTCTTGCATTCCCTTGGTGCCCCTAGGCAGGCCCAGCCGCTGGCATCAGGCAAAAGGCTCCCCAACACTGTGACTCCTGCTTTCCCTCCTGTTCCCAAAGACAACCCTATCCTGAAGCAGCTGCTTCCAGAGCACCAGCAGAAGGTGCTGAACCACTTGTCACCCGACCTGCCGCTGGCAGTGACCGCCAACCTGATCGACGACGAGAACTACTGGCGCCGCTGCTGCGAGCAGCGCTGGCCCGTGTGCCACGTGGCCAGGCACGGCTGCAGCTGGAAGCGCCTGTTCTTCGAGCGGCACCTGGAGAACCTGATCAAACAGTTCATCCCGAGCACCACGGACCCTGCCGTGATCCTCGACCTGCTGCCGCTCTGCGGAAACTACGTGCGCGGGCTGCGCGTGGACCAGTTCCTTCCCCCGGTGCGGCTCCCGCCCCAACCCCGGAGCGGGGAGCTGTCCGACTCCGGCAGCGAGGTGGAGATGGAGGAGCCCGCCACGGACCACTACCAGCTGTGTGACTTGGTGGCTGGCCTGAGCCACCTGGAGGAGCTGGACCTGGTGTACGGGGTCAAGGACTGTGGCATGAACTTTGAGTGGAACCTCTTCCTCTTCACCTACCGGGACTGCCACTCGCTGGCGGCCACCATCAAGGCATGCCACACCCTCAAGGTACCAGCCGGCCCTGCCTTCCCCCACCTCCCACTCTCAGCGCCTGTCTGATTCCCTCTCCCCTCCTCTTCCTCCTCCTCCATCCCCATCTTCTCCCTCTTATTTCCTTCTTATTCACTGACCAAGTGTCTTTGAATGCACTGGGCACCAAACTGGATTCTGGGGATGCCGAGATGAACAAGGCACTGTCCTCCCAATTCAGGAGCCATTTACTCATCCAAGGAACACTTGCTCCCCAGGCCCTATCCTAGGTGCTGAAGATTCAAGAGGGAGCGAAATTATACTATTTGTGCCCTATGGAGCTAACAGTCTGGTGGGATAAAAGGCACTCATCAGCAATCATGTAAATGTGAAATTACAACTAGGATAGGCTTGCTAGATTTAGCAAATAAAAAATACAAGACATCCAGTTAAATTTGAAACTCAAATACACAACGAATAATTTTTTTTAGTAAAGTATGCCCCAAATATTCTGGTTGGAAGGGGGAAAGCCTGCCCAAAAATCAGAGAAAGAGGAAAAGGGGGATGTGGCCCTGAGTCACAGAGCCAAGGGAGGGGTGTGTTTCAAGAAAAGGGGAAGGCAGCAATGGGGGGGGGTGATGCTAAGGACCAAATTTAGCAAACCCGGAGGTCACAGAGACGGAACTGTCAGAGGAGTGCCAGAAACAGGGACCAGATCCTAGTGGTTTAGGGAAAGAGTGGGAAGTGAGGAAACAGGATGGCTGTGATCAGCTTTTTCAAGAACTTGGCTGTGAAGGGGGCGAAGGAGAAATCAGTAATACATGAAGGGTTGGGGTTTTCTTAAAAAGATATTGGCATGTGTTTAAAACCAGTGTAAAGCTCCTTCCAATAGCAAGAAAGCAGCTGAGTCCAGGAGAAAGGCACAGGTTCGCTGAACAAGGAAGGTTCCTGAGATTGCAGGAGGGGTGGGATTGAGGAAGGTGGTGGGACAGTTGGCTCTGGGCAGAGGAGAGAGTGGATGTGGTGGATAACAGTGGGCTACTGTTTGGTATTAGGAAAATGAGGGGTTCTCATTGAATGGCCAGGGTGGTCAGAGGAGAATTGATTGCTGAAAGGAGGCTGTAGGGTTTTGAATCACTATCCCTTGAAGTTTGAGGAATCTGGAGAAGGTTGAAATTATTGTTGTAGAGGAGGAGAGAGTAGGTTGTCCAGAGAAACAGGGCTAAGTTGGAACACAGTATTGAGGGTCTCTTGGTGGTTCCGGCAATAACAACCAGTCCTGTCATGTGACATTTTCCATCGTGTCGGTTGCTTGGGCACAGATATGCAGCAAACAGAGAGTGGGGTTGATCCAGAGTTGGAGCTCTGCCAGATAGGTGCAATGAAATGACAAGAGGGACAAGAGGCTCTAAGTTGGCCGAAAGGGATGTAAAGAAAGGGGACTGAAGGACAGGAAGAGGGTGGAGAGGCCTCAAGGAAGAGGGAGGAGTGGAGGGAGCTGGTGAGAAGGGGGAGGGTTAGGGCTCCCATCTCCAGTATCCCCCACGCTAGTCCTACCCCATTCTTTCATCTTTTCTCTCCATCCTTCCATTTCCTGTCTCTCACCCTGGTTCTTACCCTGGCATCTCCTTCCAAGAGTTCCTCTCCTTGCCATGGTGGATCTTAGCCAGCTGAAGAGGGCAGAACGAGGGGCTGGGGCATCAGACAGACCTATATTCAAACCTGCCTCTGGGGCTTGATCACCATGTGACCTTGAACAAATGATCTATCCACCCTAAGCCTTCATTTTCTATCTGTAAAGTACCTAGGTTGCTGAGGGTTCGAGATAATGGTTATGATACCTTCTAGCAGCATGTCCAGCATGTAATTTCTTGATAAATGCTAGGGTTTCCTTCTACTGCCCTCCATCAGGTCTGCACTGATCTGCCATGTGGGGGATTTCTGCTGTGCCCAAAGGCCACTCAGGGGGCCAACAGCAGGTGAGCAGGACCTCAGGCCTCCCTGGGGGCTCCCCCTCCTCTACCTGCAGAAGGCAGGAAGGCAGGCAGGGAGATTCTCCCTGGCTGCCAGCTGCCGCATACCCTCTACCTGCCCACAGATCTTCAGGCTGACCCGAAGCAAGGTGAACGATGACAAGGCCCGCATCCTAATTCGTAGCCTCCTAGATCACCCTGCCCTTGAGGAGCTGGACCTATCGCACAACCTCATCGGTGACCGGGGTGCACGTGCTGCAGCCAAGCTGCTGAGCCACAGCCACTTACGCGTGCTCAACATGGCCAACAACCAGGTGCGGGCACCTGGTGCCCAGTCTCTGGCTCACGCCCTAGCACACAACACCAGCCTCATTTCCCTCAACCTGCGCCTCAACTGCATCGAGGATGAGGGCGGCCAGGCACTTGCCCATGCCTTGCAGACCAACAGGTGCCTCACCACCCTGCACCTCGGGGGCAATGAACTGTCTGAGCCCACCGCCACGCTGCTGTCCCAGGTGCTTGCCGTCAACACCACGCTCACCAGCATCAACCTCTCCTGCAACCACATTGGGCTGGTAAGCTGTAACCTTCTGGGGCCTTTGGGAGGTGGGTGTGGGATCCAACTGCCTTGGGGTGCTTCCAGGATAATTCTTAACAACACAGACTTCACCTGGTTCTAATCCCAGCTCTGCCATTTTGCACTTGGTGAAATTACTTACCCTTTTTGGGCCTCCATGTCCTTATCTGTAAAATGGGGATAATAATAGTATCTACTTCTAAGTGGGATACTAGTTGTTTCTCGGAGGATGAGTTGTACTTGTAAAGCAGTTAACATTGCAGACGCTGGCTAGGATATCAGTCTCTCTAGCTGTTACTGTTATACAGGGTTATATCCTATGCTAGGCACTGATATCCTTCAGTGTTCCTTTATTCCTTCTGGTTATCTAGTAGAATGTGTATTCCTTCCCCCCCCCTTTTTTGAAGGTTTTGTTTTTAAGTAATCTCTACATACAACATGGGGCTCGAGCTCACAACCCTAAGATAAAATGTTGCATGCTGTACCAACTGAGCCAGCCAGGCACCCCTAATAGAATATGAATTCTTTCTTTTTCTCTTTCTTTCTTTCCTGTAAGATTTTTTAATTTACTTGGGAGACAGAGAGAGGGGGGGTGGGGGAGGGGCAGAAGGAGAGGGAGAGGGAGAGAATCTTATGCAGACTCCTGGCTGAGTCAGGAGCCTGACACAGGGGTTGATCTCATGATTCTGAGATCACAACCTAAGCTGAAATCAAGAGTTGGACACAACTGACTAAGTCACCCAGGCACCCCTAGAATGTGTACTCTTTTTTTTTTTAAGATTTATTTGTTTATTTATTTGACAGACAGAGATCACAAGTAGGCAGAGAGGCAGGCAGAGAGGGGGAAGCAGGCTCCCTGCTGAGGAGAGAGCCCAATGGGGGCTTGATCCTAGGATCTAGGATCATGACCTGAGGTGAAGGCAGAGGCTTTAACCCACTGAGCCATGCAGGTGCCCCAGAATGTGTATTCTTAACCCCACTTTACAGATGGAAAATTGAGTCTCAGAGAGGCTAGTGAATTGCCCAAGAGCACCCAGTCAGTAGAGAGTGGCAGGGCTGTGATTCAAACTCAGGACTGGTTGAATACCAGATTTATTTATTTGGGGCGCCTGGGTGTCTCAGTCATTTAAATGTCTGCCTTCAGCTCAGGTCATGATCTCAGGGTCCTGGGATCAAGCTCCATATCAGGCTCCCTGCTAAGCAGGGAGTCTGCTTCTCCCTCTCCCTCTGCCTTTCCCCCTTCCCCTCCCCGACTCGTGCACGCTCTCTCTCTCTCTCTCTCTCTAATAAATAAAATATTTCTTAAAAAGAGATTATTTATTTATTTGAGAGAAAAAGAGAGTGTGTGCTCAAGGGGCAGAGGCAGAGGGAGACGGAGAATCTCAAGCAGACTCCCAGCTGAGCACAGAGCTTGATGCTGGGCTGGATCTCTGGACCCTGAGATCATGACCTGAGCAGAAACAGCAGTCAGACACTTAACCCACTGAGCCACCCATGCGCCCCACCTGGGTCCTTTCTGATAGATGATGTCTCTCATTTTCTTGACCAAGTCTCAGAATAAGAAATGCAATTTACACGAACACCTAGTGAACATATACATCAATATAGTATCATTGAAATGTACTTTTAGTGCTTGTGATACATGCGGATATTTTCCTTTATTTTCTATTCTACTTCATTTTTTAAAAAAATGCATCTGCAACCCATTAAACTGGCTTTGCTCTTGGGTCAAAACCATGGAACACAACCATTCTGCCTCTCACATAAGTCTTACATCGAGCATGGCCCACCCAGCCCAAAAGCAGCTAGAGCTGCGAGGACTAGTGAGGAAGACCCTCCATCAAGAGAACAGTCTTGCTCTCTCTCTCTCTCTCTCTCTCTCTCACACACACACACACATGCACGTCTCCACTAGGGGTGTTTTTGGCTACAAATAACAAACCTGAACCAGGAAATGGCTTAAACAATATTCATTATGTCCCATAATCAGAAGCCCCAGGGTAAGGGGTGTCTGGAGTTGATAAATTCGCCGGCTCACTGCCACCATCTGCTCTGCCCACCCAGCCACATGGCCATATTCTCTTAGGTGCTTCTCTCATGGTCCCAAGATGGCTGCTGCTCCTCACATAGGGCCATGCTCAGAGGCAGAGAAAGGGAGAGCACCCCTCTCTCTTGTTCTCTTTTCAGAGGGAGAAGAGCCTTCCCAGAAGCCACTCCCTCTATAGGTCCTCCTCAAATGTCATTAGTCAGATTTGTCTCACACACCCATGGCTGAATCGGAGGAGGGCCATTACCATCATTGTCACAGAGCCATGTTTTTCAAACCATGAGGGTTGAAAAATCAATTTAGTAAGTCTTGATCACCGTTTTTCTTATAGAATAGAACGGGATGGGATAGGATAGCATAGAACACATTAGTGTGCTGCACAAAAGGTTAACCATTGTTTTGTGAAACTCATTCTAGTCACATCCTTGTATAAATGTATGTATGTGTGTGTACACACATGTGCAAGAGTGATCCTGGGTAGTGATATGAAATGGCCCCCTCCCTTGTACTCCTCTCCCAGGATGGCGGGAAGCAGCTCCTGGAAGGCATGTTAGAAAACAAGACCCTCCTGGAGTTTGACCTGCGCCTGTCAGATGTAGCCCAGGAGAGCGAGTACCTCATTGGCCAGGCCCTCTGTGCCAACCGGGAAGCTGCCCGCCAGCGGACCTTGAATCCTGGCCACTTCATGTCCCCAATCATTGCCAAGGGCCCTGAGAACCCTGCGGGATAAGGTGGGGGACAGGGCTGGGGCAGTGATGGGACCTGGGCCACTGCCCTAGCCCCCTCCTCATTTCATGCTCGGTCATGCCTGCTGTAGAGTGACACATTAGAAGGGAGAGACCACAGATACCCTTGGGGAGAGTGATCAAGGGTGATGTGGGAAAAGTCCTGAAGGGGGGAGGGGACTGGGATAGGGGGAGAGAGGGGTATGAAGTGGGACCCATCCTCTGTACCCTGGAAGAGGATATTACCAGAACCCCTGAAATGACTGACTTCTTCCAGGGTTAGGGGAGACAGAGAAGATTCTGAAAGCCTGTGCCAGCCCAGACTCTCCCATGGAAATTGTCCATCTCCCTTACCTACTCTGACCCCTTTCCCCTGACCATTTTCCTCTCTACTAAATAGGTGCTGGACTTCTTTACCTTTAAACATGTGCGTGCCTGCACACGTGGGCACACGCACACCCTCAGTCTCTCTCTCCCTGGGCTACTGCAAGGCTTTGCCTGGCTCTTCTACCCTCACCCCTGTCAACGCTACCTTGCTGTTCCTTGACTCACTGACTCTGCTAAAGTGATCCGTTCTACAGGCCATTCCATCCCCTAATTCTCACCCCACCCCACTCCCCACAACCCAGCAAGGGGGAAACAGAGGTGACAGGAGGGATTCAGACCACTGCCCCCACCAGGGAGCTTCCGCTGGGAGTAGAGCATGGGGGAGGTGCCACACTGGGGAGGAAAGTCAGTGAGTCATCTGCAACTTTATTATCCACCAGTTTGATTTGTACAATCTTTGCGCTTGGAAATCCATGACAGAAAGGCCACAGTGTGATGCACCCAAATGACAGAGACCTGTCTTCTCCCCAGCCAGGCCCAGCCCACCCCACAAGCCCTTGTCCTCAGCACATATGGAGCCTTCCAGTGGCCCTCCAAGAGTCCCCATGGTTCTGTGGCTGCCCACAGAAGTCACATCAGCCCCCAGGGCCACAGGAGGACCTGACAGATTCAGGCTGAGCCCCATCTCCCCTCCTCCTCCCGCTGAGAGGTCCAGAGCCTCCAGACCTGTGGTCTTTCCACAGGATGGGTCATGGGCTGCAGCCACAGCCCAGGGGTGCCTGCTCCCCAGGGACTCCTTCCAACAAGCAGGCGCCATGCAGAGCACCAAAGGGGACCTGGGAGCCACTGCACTTGTGTGCCTGTCTGGGCAACCTAGAGTCTGTCTGTGCCTGACACCCTCTGACAGTTCTGGAGTGCAAACGTGTAGATGTGAGGGTGTGTGTGAGTGACTGTGTGTGTGTGTGCGTGTGTGTGTACATAGCCACAGCTGCTAGCAGAAGTTCTAATTAGAGAAACAAGAACATTCAGTGTAAAGTTTAATTTTAGAGATTAATTAATTTTCTGGTTTTCGTTTTCCCTGGCAATCAATAAAGCTACCAAGAAAATAGACCAAAGAATCAGTTTCTCTCTCAGTCTGTGCGTGTGTGGAAGGTGAGGCTGTCTGTGTAAGAAGACCTAGGCAGAAATGGTCAATACAGGCAAAAATAATAACAGCGTTCCCCTGTGCCCTCCTCCTAGCTCAGGCTCCATCTCAGTAATGGGCCCAAGGGAGAAGGAGCTGAGTCCCTCCCTCTTTGGAGCCGGAAGTGGCCAGGCTGCCTCCACACAAGGGCATGACATCCGGGGCCAGCTGGCCAAGAACTGGGGCCTGCGGCCACAGCTCACCACCTGGACCTCACAGATGTCCCTTCAGAGGAAAGAGGGGTGCTCCAACCGCCAGGGCCCCAAGGAGCACAGACTCGGGGTTCAGGCAGGTTCAGTGACAGCAGTCAGGTGGCCACGGGTGCCCAGGCCCAGGGAAACTCAGTGGGCAGCTGTTCCCTACTGACCAAGCCTCCTGTTCTCCGGCTGCCTCTGCCTTCCCACTTAGCCATCTCCACAGGAAAGTAAAGCTCAATCCCGATGGGCCATGGGCCATGGTGTCCCCACAATCCAAACCTCCCAAGTCCCCTGGGGGAAGGGGTACTGGGAGCCAGAGATGTTGCATAGGTGGCAGTCATGCCCTTGGCAGGTGTAGTCCTGGCTAGGCTGGAGGAAGATGGGAGAGGAGGCTCAAGGAGGGGAAGAAAGAGCTCTGGCAGCTCCGGTGAAGTGAGGAGCATCGGGGTGAGTGATGCTGGCGGGCCCCAGGGTTATTCCACTCCAGCTTGAAATGTGAGCTCAGTCCCTGGGCACTGAGTCCACTGGGAACGCATTAGGCAGGGGGGTTGGGAGGGCAGGGGGCACATAGACATGCACACTGAAGCACATCAGGATGGGAGTGCTGGGGGAGAAAAGGCTGCCTCAGAGCTTTAGGAGAACAGCAGGTGGGACCCGCAACTTTCAGTGGTAGCAGGGTGTCCTTTGGAAGACCCTAGGACACGCTGCAGGGCTTTCAGCACATGGATAGATGACAGAGGGGTTGGGCAAGATTTAGAGAATTTCCGCCTCTGACCCTGCCCCTAGAATTGAGTATTTCTCCAGCCAGGACTCATGAAGACAACCTCAGCCCTGCAGAGGTAATGTGTGGGGGCACAAACCGCTCTTCACACCACCATCCCCCACAAGTCTGGGGAAGGCAAGGAAAGGTTTCATCCCAGAAACCCCTACCTTTGGCGGTCCTTTTCGTCTCCCTCCACTGCCCACTCCCACCTGCTACGAGAGTTCCCCTTTGCCACCTGGGTCTGTCTCGCACTCTTCCCACCCAGGCATTCATCTTGACCAGCTTTAATGATCGTGTGTGGCAGTATCCCACCCCTCTGAAGGGAGAGCCCTCCCAGAACCCAGGCCAGGACGCTGCAGAATTTAGAGACAGGACTGAGGTGCATACTGTCCACATTTTGCCTCCCTCCTCCCTGGACAACTGTTCTTCAGGGCCAGAGAGCAAGAGGGAAGGGAGGAGGGTGACGCAAGCAGTGTGAGCGCAGTCCCTCCAGGACCCACACTCCAGGGACCCAGCTAAATAAACAGCAGTGGAGAGTGGCAGAAAGGAAACCCCGATGTTTGGGGCCAGCGCCAAGAAGAGGATAGCAACATTTGCACGGTTTTGAGATGGAGCGCCGGGGCTGACATCTGGCCCCAGTCTCAGACCCGCTGAATTCATTAGCTGCTTGGAAGCCAGCCCTGCTGTTCACCACCGCTCCCTCCGCAGGGAAAGGCCCTGGTGGGGCTAGGCAGCGAAGGAAGGAAAGCCCCAGTTCCCCTTCCCCATGCCTCTAAACCTCCCGGCTGCACAGCCAAAGCCTCGCCCTTGAGGCGGGCCCCACGCGGTGCCACACAGCACAGTCGCCACTAACAGAAGATCCATTGAAAGGCTGGACGGGAAATCGCGAGTGTGCGTGGAAGAAGGGGAGGTGTCCCCCTAAGAACCGAGCGGCGGGCTGGAAGAGCCGACTGTGCCCGGGCTGGGGCTTCTCCAGAGCCGCCGATCCCCTCCCACCCATCGGTCTCTTTATGTACAGGAAAGGCGGAGGGTCCGGACCCCATCGGGGTCCGTCCCGCGCACCCTCGCCTCCTGGCTCCCCGCGCCGCGCCCAGCACAGCCTCAGTCACCATCACGACACCCCCTGCTACAAGCCAGGGACACAGTCCGACGGGGGACAGGAGGGAGGACGGAGGGCCTGGCGGGGGGGGAGGGGCGGAGGTCACAGTGAGGTCTCTACGCAGGAGCCGTGGCGGTGCAGCGGCCGGTGGCTGTGGCCCAGACACCCCTCCTGCCGGTGCACGATGAGGACCGGGAAGTAGAGGGCGTCGTGGTAGGGTGGCGGCGGCCCGGCCTCCTCCTCGTCGTCGTCCTCGTCGTCACCCATGCTGGCCTGGCTCGACAGGCGCGTCTGCTCTGTAGGACAGCTGGCCTCGTTGACACTGCCGCTCCGGCTGCGCCACAGGCAGCTGCGTCGGGAGCCGTAGAGGCGGCCGAGCGAGAAGCGGCTGCCCCCGCAGCCCGGGCCGCCACCGGGCCCGGGGCCGGCCCGCGGGCTGGCGCAGATGCTGAGCGCGCTGCGCGAGAAGATGGACGAGCTGCTGACCGCGCGCTGGCAGTGCTCGCAGCTGCGCCGGTACGGGGCCACGCCCGCCGCGCCTGGGCCGCCCACCCCGCCGTAGCGGCACGCGGGCGCGTACCCGCCGCCCGCCGCCCCCGCGCAGCGCGCCCCCAGCCCCGCCAGGTCCATGAGCACCGCCTCGGAGTAGCTTGGCACCAGCTGCTGGTTGGAGCGGATGTGCCACTCGAGCTCCGTGCTGTCCACCGTGTTGACCCGCGGCAGGCGGTGCGTCAGCGGGGGCAGCAGCTCGTCGCTGGGGCTCAGGCCGCCGCCCGCGCTGCTCGCCGAGCCCGGGCCCTCCAGGCCGAAGAGCTTCTCCACGTGGTAGTGCGCGTAGGCCGTGCGGTACTCGGCCAGCACGCGCAGCGGCCACGACAGCGTCAGCAGCGCCGCGGCCCAGAAGGCCGAAGAGCAGGCGTACCACGGCGGCCGGGCCGGGTCCGGGAAGGCCACCATGAACTCGCGGAAGTCCACGTTCTTGAGGTGCATGCCCTCGCGCGCCTCCATGTAGTCGTCCAGGCCCTCGTTCTCGGCGAAGAAGCGCGCGCGCTGGCACAGGTAGGCGTTCTCGGCCTCCACGCTGGCGAAGCTGAAGCACTTGGTGAAGCGCAGGCGCGTGGCCGGCGCGCCCTCCAGCCCCACCAGCGCCTTGGACACGTCGCGGACGCCGCAGCGCGCGTAGTCGAACTCGGCCTCCGCCACGTGCGTGTTGACGCGCTCATGGTAGACCTACGGCGCCGGGGAGGGCGGCGGGAGTCGCTTCTGTCGGCTCACCCTCGTCCGCCCCATCGCACCGCTCTTGCTGCCCGCTCAAACCCCGAGCCCGCCCCGCTTTCGAGCCCGCTTGGAGCCGGGTGGGATCTTATCATCTGCTTTGCAGAGCCACGCGGGCCCTCAGCGTCTTCGGTTAGAGAGGAGGACGGGCGGGAACTCAGACCTCCCGGTGTGCATGCTAATTTGAATTAAGCGCTGCTTCTTCAGGGGGTCAGGCGCTGGCCTTGAACCGCCCGTCGGGTTTGCCCCACCTTTTTGCCCCATCTCCCAAGACTCACGCTGCCCCTTCTTTCCTTTTACAAGTGTGTTCCCCAGTGGCCCGAGGAGCGCCCTGTCGACCGGTCTACCTGTTCCCACCTTAGCTCTCACCCATCCCTGATTCTCACAGGCCCCAGGCTTCTGTTTACCCATACCAATACAGAGACGGAGGTCACCCTTCCTTGAGAAAAATCTCTTCCCGCAGGGTTCTAATAGTGCCTAATCCTGGCGGGTCCAGGTTATGCTAATTAGCCCCCACCCCCACCTTTCCATGGGGCCTCCCGTGCCTACCTCCGCCTCTTTGCCAGCAGACTCCCACCTCTGGGAGCCTCAGACTTGGGATCCAGGGCCCTGTGTTTGAGTCTAGCACTACCTCTTAGAAGCTGCAGACCTTGGGCAAGTCATTGAGCTTAGGATTCCTTACCTGTGAAAGAGGACCTGGTAGCAGCCACCTCACTGAAGGGTGAGAGCGTGCTGTGAGGTAGTGCATGGGAAGTCATCTCCAGCCATTACCACTAAGCATTACAGACCCTGGAACCAGACTGCCTGGGTTCAAATCCCAGCTCCACCACATACTAGCTGTTTGACTTTGAGCAGGGTACTTAACCTCTCCAGGCCTCAAGTTTCCTCATCTGTAAAATGTGGGTAGTAGTTACCTACCTCGTAGGGTTGTAATGAGGATTAAAGCAATGATGCAGTATTATCACGTACATCGGGCAGAGCCTGGTTGTTGGTGTTTATCATTATTATTATTACGGTTGTTACTGCCCTCCTGTTTCAGTGTCCATAAGAGCTCACTGCTGCCTGTGCTCCTCCCCCTGGGGGGTAGTCCGTCAGGTCCCAGCACCCCCCTCCCATTTGGACTGGATTGTGCTCCCCTCCAACCCCTCACCTGGGTGGTGGTGTAGGCGTCTCCATTGCGGTATCGCGTGACCTGGCGGGTGCGGCGGACATAGTGGTAGCTGATGGCCTTCCACCAGATACAGGGCGTGGCCTGCTGCATGCGGCCCACACGCTCCCGCACGCTGCTCACATCAACACGGTGCTGCAGCTCATGGCGGGCTTGGCAATGCCAACACTCTACCAGGTAGACGGCGTACAGCATGAGTAGGAAGGCCAGGGGGATGTAGACATAGCCGTTGGAGCAGGGGCTGTCGTGGTACATGAGGCTGTTGCCCTGGTAGGTGCTGCTGAAGGTGAGGCGGGTCACCGTGGTCACGTGGCACCAGGCCACGGCCCCCAGACAGCCGTACATGAGCAGCGAGAGCAGCAGGCACTTCCAGTGGGACTCACGGCAGAGGGACTTGGTGAAAGAGGGCTGGATGGGACGCTGCTGCTCAGATGGGCAGGGGAAGGTCCAAGATGAATGGGAAGTGAGACGGAGTGGCAGGACCCAGCACAGAGATGGATGGAGGTGTGGAAGCCAGCATCAGAGATGACAGGCAGACAGGGATGTGGGGAGGAAAGGTAAGACCGAGAGGGGAGCCGAGGACCAAAGATAAATGAGGAAATGAGTGAGACACGGGGGCAGGGAAAGAGAACAGAATGCCAATACAGGGACGTGCAGAGAGAGACAGACACCCCAAAAGGCAGAGAGGGATGGGAGCCAGAGGTGGAGGGAGGAGGCCCGGGTGGCAGAGAATACACAGATGGATAGGATGACACCCAGAGAAACAGAGTCCAAAGACAGATGTTAGATGGCCATGAAACAGGAGGTGTGGATGGAGAAGACAAGGGAGGACAGACAGGCATCAGTGAAGGCAGGTCCCCAGCCAGGTCTCCTTCCAGGTGTTCCAGGAAAGCAGGGAGGGACCCATTTGACAACACCTTCCCACTTAACAAGTGGGGCCCTCACATCTTCCTGGTTCTTTGAGTCCTGGGTTCTGGAGGAGCCAGTCCTCTTTGACCCATCCATCTCCCCATCCCTCACAGACAATTAGTCTCATACCTCCTTTGGAGGGGTGGGGGGGGGTTGCCCAGGAGACATCAAGCTCTGACTCTCCCCACATTCTGACCTGGAGGCCCCCTCTGTAAGTCTCCTTCGTGGACCCTAACATCCTTCCCTGTTCTAAGATGAAAGGCATCTCTGAGTAGAAGGAAGTCCAGAAGGAGATATCCAGAAGGGCAGAGGCAAGTGGCTGGGGGACGGGGATGAGGCACTGGGTCACAGGGGTAGGGAGGGAGACATCTGCAGTTCAGTCATTTTTCACAATGATTCCTGGAGCTCTCTGGGGGCCTATTAAAACACTTGGCCCATTCTGTTCTATGGTCACCCCAGTGAGTTGTTTACACATCTAGACTGCACGCTCCTGAGGTCAGGGTCTCAGTTCTGGGTGCCTACCATGGAGCTGGCACCCAGCAACCACTTAGTAGATGAGAACTGAGTTGGATTTCTGGTGGTGGGCTGTGCTTTCCCACTTCTCCTCCCTGCTGTCTATCTTTAAGGACCCCCCCACCCCTCAACACAAACACCCCCCTGCTGAGATCCTGATTTCCTCCAGTTCCCTGGGCCTGACCTGGAGGCTAGCCACAGGAAGGGAGAAAAGGGTGGAAAGGAAGGGCACAGTCACAGGCAGTGGGCCCTGGGCCTGTGAAATGAGAGGAAAGATCTGGAAGTGCAGATAGGTAGGTGGGCTAGGCAGTAGTACACAGCATATACAAACAAGATTAGGGTAGACGGACCTTTTCGGGAGCCTTGTCCTTGGGGGGTGTGCAGATGTGCACCTTTGTGTGCCTGCCTGAGTGTGCACGTGTCCCACGGAGAGCACATCTGAAAGGGTCTCTACCTGCAGGTCTGTCCCTGCCCACGTGCTTCTGCCCTAGTGCAGTGTGTATGTGTGTGCAAGAGTGTGCACGGGAGGGGGGGGGGGGGGAGGAGAGCAGTGCTACTGGCACCTTCCTCAGTCTCTTTGTTTCCAGGTTCAGAGGACTGAAGAGTGGGGCCCCCGACTAGGGAAATGCTTATTTCCAACACTCTGAAGGATTCCTGGGCTCAGGAACCCCCTGGGAGTGGGGGAACTGCATGGACATTGGGAGGGAGAGGTGCACACACTCCCAGTGACCCCAGGGGTAATCGCCTCTCTACACACTTGACCTTCTCAGGACCACAGCTCAGGTACCACCACCATTTCCCCATGGTACTCTCCTGCCTCTGTAGCCCCTACAAGTCGCCCTTCCTGGCCTTAAAGATCGCATCCCCTCGGCGAAACAGGATTCCTGCCACCGTCCCCACCCCATCCGCCCGGGGTCCGCGAGGCTCCGCCCCTAGGCCCCTCCCCCTGCCCAGGACCCCCGAGCCCCGCCCCCGGCGCAGCCCCTTCCCCGCTACAGCGGACAGCTCCGGCCGCCGGTGGGGGCATCCGCGCGGGACTGCGGCTGCGGCGGCCGACTCGGGGTGCGGGGCGCCGGCCGCGCTGCGGCGGAACCGGCGGGGGCCGCGCGGGGCGGGGGATGGGGGACCAGGCTGCGGCCGCGCTTGGGGAAGGGGCGCCGCCTGTGCTCACCTCCTCTCGGGCGGGGCCCTCGTCCGCCGCCGCCGCCGCCGCCGCCGCCGCCGTGGGCTCCTCCGGGACCCCGGGGCCGCCACCTCCGCCGCCGCCGCCGGCGCTCTCTCCCGCGGCCGAGCCAGGGGGGGACATGGCGTAGAGGGGGTGCGTCGAGCTCAGGGCTTCCCGGGGGGCTGCTGGGGGCCGAGGGCATCCTGCGCGGGCCCTGGGGAGGGGGCGGGAGGGGGCGGGGCCCTCGCTGCTCCCCACCCCCCGCCAGGGGGGAGGGGGCCTGGAAAGGGCACCGGGGGTAGGGGGCTAAGGGCTGGGGGTGGGGAGGCGGGCTGGGGGGCCGGGCCGGGGGGGGCCGGGGCCGGGGGCGGGTGTCACCTTGAGGCCCTCGCGGCGCCGCTCCGCCTCCCGCCCGCTCCCGCCGCCGCCTTTTGTCTGAGCCGAGCTGGAGCCAGCGCGCCCCCCCTCTTCCTCCCAGCTCAAGAGCCCCGCCCCCGGCCCCCCAAACTCCGCCTTCCCCAAGCCTACCTAATAGCCACCCCCCAAAGAGAAGAAGCAACAGGGGCTCCCCGCACCCCTTCCCCACTCCCAGCCTTGCTCACCGCACCACCACCAACCCCCATCCTGGCAAGATCTGTGCCGCAACTCCTTCTGTTCCTTCTCCGTGGAGGGGGCACCAGTGGTTCAGCCAACATCCCTCCCCATCGTTGGTTCCCGCAAGTTCCTGGGGCCGAGGGTGGGGGAAAGTAAATTGAGCCGTGGAACCCTAGGGAAGATCCTTATTTCCAGTTGGGTGGTAACGGGTTAAGGCGGGAGCCAGCCTTCCGAGGCCATATCCAAGTGCGCAGAGATGGAATCGCGTGGAAGAGAAAGGACTGGAGCTAGATGTGAGAAAGGACTAACAGAGGGCAGAGGGGAGGACATAGGAACCAGCCTTCACAGAGCTCCCTAGAGGAACAGCCCCAGAGAAGCAATGAAGTGTGTGCGTTGCCCTAGGCTGGAGAACAGGAAACCTAAATTCCAGTTCTTAATCCTGGCTCTGCCATTAAGCGGTTGTGTGACCTTGGGCAAGTGCCTTCCCCTCTAAGCCTTAGTTTCCTCATCTGTGCACTGAAGAATTTGCCTGGACACTCTCTAAGGCTCTGCCCTTCTTCTGTGGGTGTAGGAGGCAAAATCACAGACTGCAGGCCAGGCTGAGTGACTACAAGTAGCCTACCCCTTCCTGCCATCCACCCACACTGCTTTTCCCTTGTACTGCCTGGGTCAGGCAGAAAGAAAACTGACATGCATTCATTAATTCCTGGATGGATCCATTCAATAAACAGGCATTAGGTACCTACTGTGTACTCTGTTCAGAAATGAAACATACGATATTCTACCCTCAAAGAGCACAAAGTCTAATGAGGAGAGGGACCAATCATTGTGATAAAATAGTATAAAGGGTATGCATATTCAATCCATGTGTGCACCCTGTGGAATCCTGCTGTGTGCCCGGTGCTACATTAGAGTCTTTGACATATAGTAATTGGTCCCTTATTTGCCCACAAGGAACCAAAGTATAAGGAGTGTGAGTGATTTATTCAAGGTTACAAGCTAGTACTCACAGAGCTAGTCCTAGAATCCAGACCTTTCCCATTCCAAAGGCCATGGGGATATCTGTGGGTAGGAAGTTAGCTTAAGGCAAAGTTTTGGATAATCCAGTCTTTGGGATGGGGGCGAGCGCACTGATCTGCTGGGATGGCCACCTGAGGCAGAAGAGCCACTACCTCTCTCCCACCCGCCCCCAACACACCCCATCCTGGTCTTGCCTCCATTGGCCTATTCTCCTCTTTCCAGGCAAAGTGAAGGTCGCTGGCTGACTGCCTACTGCTTCCAAACTATCCAGCCTGAGGTTCCTCCACTCCATGGGTGGGTCATTCCATCCTCCAGACCCAAACAGAGAAAGGGTGGGGTCCTGAAGAGGCTGGCTTCTCCCTCATTCTCATGGCAGAGGAAGACTCTCACTTGGGGGCTCACTCCAGTGCCTCCCACCCATATTTTGTGGGAAACTCTACCTCACATCTAACTCCAACCCCTCTTCTGGTCTCAGCCTGTTCCACCTAGTTCAGTCCTCACTGCAGACAAAGTGCAGAGTCCCCAGCCTGACCCTTTCATAACTCGGATAGGAGGCTCCCACTCCCCATTTAGTTGTTGTAATCTTGCTCCTGTTTCCCACTCCTTTTGGCCAACCCCAGAGCTCCCAAGAGATAAAGGACCCCTGACAACTAACCCCCGCATCTCCATTCACACACATTACTCTTCCTTGCAGCTCAGGGGAAAGAGGGGTGAAGGGAGGGGGCAAGGAAGGAGCCAGCTGACCAGCTGGTCACCATGGCAACGGGGCCTGCTTCTTGAAGAAGGAGCCTGGCTGGGGTGGGTGGAAGCTGGGAGTGGGGGCACTACAAAGGGAACCAGAAAAAAGCAGCGGAGAGAGGAGGACTGGTGGGGCAGAGGAAGCGAAGTCAGGGCCCTGACCATGCTGAGGCCCGAGTCAGAGTCCCCAAGTCATCTTTCGAAATGGCACTGCATGATCCCTCTCCCCATTCTGAAGTGTCCCCTGAAGGGCTTCCTGTCAGAATACTGGCAAGGTGCTGGAAGCCGTCAGTGACTCAATGCTGACCTCATGTGGCCAGAAAAGGGGCTGGTACACACCTGTTAAGGTTCCAAGTGAGACTCCAGACGGGATAGGTTTTTCCTTAAATTCAGCCTCTATCTGAAGGCAAGTGGGGTTCACTGCATACTCCTGCATTCTTGTGTCCTTCGGTGGGTTCAGATGCCCCAACTCCTTAGACCTTTATAAAGGAAACAAAGTTTCAGTGAAAATGTTTTTCAAAGTTTTGGATTAGGGACAGGAGAACCTGGCCCCCGTTCTTCCTAACTGTTGGATCTTGGGCAGTTCAGTTCTCCTCTCTGGGTTTCAGCTTCCCAACTTTAAGATGGGGATGTGATAATGCCTGATCTGAGCCCAAGTAGTCTGGGTCTAGAGTTCCTGGCTGTATTTTTGCTCTAGACTTTGAGGATGAGAGAGGAACATGTCAGGGGAGGAAGTTGAAAACCTCTGAAGTCACACTGACCTCAAGGGAAGGAGATGCTTCAGTTTCCTTGGGCTTTCCCCTCATGGCTTCTCACTGCCTCATGCTCAACCATATTCTCCACTCTGGTTCTCCACAGGGATGAAGAGCAGTGGGGCATCTCCTCCTGGCTGCCCACCACGATGCTTCTCTCTTGATTCATGCCTCCAAGCACACACACTGGGTACCTCTCTTCTCCCCAGTCCCTTTCCTTCCCTGCACTCCACTGGGCAGTCGACCCCGCTTTGTGCCCCCAGGGCACCCTATTCTCACTCCTGTCTTTGCGTAAGCACTCTGTATTATAATTGCTGGGAGATTTTTGAAGGCTGGGACCATGGGACATTTTTGAGTGGAGGTGGGGTTAGTGGTTGTTGGTTATTACTGTTACTGTGATACTTAGTTTTGCTTCCAGCAGAAAGACCAATGTCAGACATACAGGAAAAGCCCTATATGTATTTGTCAAACGAAGGAATAAAATGAGGTTACATGGAGGAGGGCAGTAGGAAAGCTGGTTCATAGCTGTCTGCACTCACTCCAGCTTCCTTACCCCAATGCCAGAGTTGGAAAAAGGAGATGTTCCCTTAGGGATGAGATTCTAAGGGCATTGCTGCCCCTGGGTTGATGGCACTTGAGGTAGGAGATGAATCACGGGGCACGGATTGGGGCTCACCATATGGGTGGAGTTTGCTGACAACCTCCCTAGGCCCTTTAGGCCCACGGAAAGCAGAGACAGGGAAGGAGGGAGGATGTGCTGGCATTGGGGCTGTGGCTGTGGTGGGGACCTCAGGAGAACATGGCCCAGCAAGTCTGGGGCCTCCCCATTCTGGCCCCACCATGAGGAACTAAACTTCCCTGATCACTCAGGGTAACCAGATGTCGTAACCGCCCAGAGCCAGTGTTTCATCCCTGTGAAGAATGACCATTCTGCTTTTTTAGACAACAAAAAATATGACCTGCATATCTGCATTTTTTTAAGATAACAGCTTGCCTGAGAAAACCCACTTTCAAAAAACCAAAAACAAACGAACAAAAAAACTGTCCTTGTGCCCAATTCTATGTGATCTAGGAAGTTGACTCAGGAGACCCTCTATCCAGGATCCAAAGACAGAACTGCTCCTTTAAAGACAATAGGTATCCCCTTTCTTTCCCTACCCAAACTCCTGGGCACTGATAGAGAAGGAAGCCACAGAAATTGAGAGAAATGGGTAGGAGATAGGAAGCAGTGCTCTCCTTGCAAGTTGCGTAGCCTGTGCAGATGATTAATAAATATTTCTTTAAAAGTAAATGAAAAGAGGGGCTCCTGTGTGGCTCAGTCGGTTAAGCAGCTGCTTCCCGCTCAGGTCATGATCCCAGGGTCTTGGGATCGAAACCCACCTTGGGCTTCCTGCTCAGTGGAGAGCCTGTTTCTCCCTCCCTCTGCCTGCCTCTCTTGTGTTCTGTCAAATAAATAAAATCTTTAAAAAATAGAAAAACAAATGAAAAGGGGCGCCTGGGTGGTTCAGTCGGTTAAGCGTTTACCTTCAGCTCAGGCCATTGATCCTGGGGTCCTGGAATCAACCCCCCAGGAGGGCTCCCTGCTGGGTGGGGAGCCTGGTTCTCCCCTCCCCCTGCTTGTGTATGCTCTCTCTGTCACAGAAATAAATAAAAATATTTTAAAAAACAACAACTACAAATGAATGAATGAATGGAAAAAATGAAATGGAAGAAAGGAAGGAAGAAAAGAAAATGCATGGAATTAATGAAAAAAGGAAGGGAAAATATGGATGGATGGATGGATGGATGGATGGATGGATGAATGAGTGGGTGAATGAATGAGTGAATGGGTGAATGAATGAGTAGGTGAATGAATGAGTGGGTGAATGAACGCTCGAGTGACTCAGGACCGGGTAACCCCTGACTCGAAGCCAACGCAGAGGGCGGGGTTAGGGGGATTCCGGAGGGAGGGGCCTCGGTCCGGAAGCGCCTGTCGGGGGCGGGGCCTGAGGGGCGGGGCGAGGGAGCGAGTCCGACTGGGCAGTCCAGCTACCCCGAGTAGCCGCTGCCGTGGAAGCCTCCAGAGCTCCGATCCTCGCCCGCGTTTTTCGCCGACTCCTCGGGCTCCCGCAGCCCAGGAAGGAGGCCACTCCCGGCCGGGCGC